CTGCCTTCAGAGTCAGACATCAGTGAGGCAGAGGAACAACTGGAGCCTGTTCCCAGTGTGCGCAAGTGCAGAATTGCCAGACAAAATGAACAGTTAAGGAACCAGGGATGACTTGGGAGTAAGGCCAGATGATGAATGGCCCCTCCCAGAGGAAATAAAAGAGGAGCGAAAGGGGAGTGGAGTTTGCAGGAAACAATTTGTTCATTCCCACATTCTTACCAAGTATTGCGGCATCTGAAAGATATCGGCCTGGCCGCTCTCCAAGCCTGATAAAGATCGGTAATTGTGAACTATCTTGAAAAAACTGTTGGCCAGGACTTTGCTGGAAAGGTTAAAGGTAAAGATGAAGGTTCCCTTCACACATATGTGCTAGTCGTTCCTGACTCTAGGGGGCGGTGCTTATCTCCCTTTCAAAGCCGAAGAGCCAGCGCTGTCCGAAGACGTCTCTGTGGTCATGTGGCCGGCATGACTAAATGGCAAAGTCGCACGGAACGCTGTTCCCTTCCCACCAAAGGTGGTTCCTATTTTTCTACTTGCATTTGTTACGTGCTTTTGAACTGCTAGGTTGGCAGAAGCTGGGACAAGTTACGGGAGTGCTAGGGATTCGAACTGCTGAACTGCTGAATCTTTCTGATCGGTGTTTTAGCCACTGAGCCACTGCGTCCCTGGCAACTGTGTTGATAACTTAACAAATGCACCGATTCACTTAACGACTGTGGCTTGTAAAATGGAGCAAAGTTCTCTTAATGACGACCTGACTTAGCCGGAGAGGAATTGATTGTAAATTAAATAAAAATGGGTTTATCGGGATGAGGACTCTGCTGCTGGGGAAGCCTAGATCAGAACAGTAGAGGAGAGGCGTTTGAAACCCCCAAAGTCCCTGACCCCTAAGCCTTGCTCCTAATTCCTGAAAGGACCCCATTATATGGGTCAAGCATTTGTTCTCTGCCAGTCTACGCTGTAAAACCTCCCCCTTCCCTCTTTTCATTTCAACCTTGTTACTCCTGGCAGGGATTTTTTTTTTTAAAAAAAACCCTCTTTTTATTTCCAAGGCAGGCTAAATGGTAATCCAAGATGCTGAGACTCAGCTGCTGAATCCGTCCACTGTTTTATGGGAGCAGACCTGAAAGCTCGGAGCGAGGGGGGGGTCTTTTCCAAAAGGCCAATTTCTCAACCCAAGGAGCAGGGAGCATGTGGGACAGGAAGTAGTTGCACGGCGCTGGCTGGCAAGGCTACACTTTTGTGAGGTTCCCCCCCACCCACCCCCTCTGCCGCGAGAGATGGCAGGAGGAAGTCTGAGGAAGTAGGGAAAAAGGAGCTATTCTCGGTGTCAGTGGGAGGCTTCGNGTTCGCGGGGACCGCCGCGAACCGGTTGAAACCCACCCCTGATGCGCACCCACCACCCTGCGATGCTCCAGCTGCTTGGTGGAGTGTCGTACAGGCGCCGTAAGCTCCGTGCGCATGCGCAGATGGCCCGGTTGGGTCAAAGACAGGTAAGGAATGCTGTCGGCCGGTGGGCCCTACACAGCACTGTTCCCGTACGGTGCCTGCTGCTCCCAGCAGGGAACCGGTACACCCGTACCGGGGCGTACCGGCTGGAACCCACCACTGGTTCATAGTTACGATGGTTGCTGTGTCGTGCGAATACTTTTTGCAACTTTCTGACCACTAAAGTCAATGGGTGGAGCCAGAGTCACTTAACAACCTGGTTACTCCCTTATCCATGGCAGTGATTCATTTAACAACTGTGGCAAGAAAGGTTGTAAAATGGGGCGAAAGTCACTTAACACCTGCCTCACTTAACAACAGAAATGCTGGGCTCAATTATTGCCTGTAGTCTTAAAGTAAGTTAAAAGTAAGAGTTCTTTACAAGTAGTCTTTGACTTACGTTTCGCTTAGGGACCATTCAAAGTTACGATGGCAAAGGAAAAAAATGGCTCATGGCAGCTTTTCGCACTTACGACTGTTGCCCGTGGTCACATGATCAAAATTCAGATGCTTGGAAACTGGCATGTACTTATGACAGTTGCCTTGTTCTGGGGTCATGTGATCCTTTCCCAACCGACCACCAAAAATAATGGGAGGGGGAAGATGATTCATTTAATGACCGAAGCATTCACTTAACAACAGCATTAATAACATTATTCACTTAATAATGGTGGCAAGAAAGGTTGTATAAAGGGGGGAACTCAACAACTGTATCCCTTAGCAATGGGAATTTGGGGGCTCCATTGTTGTAAATTGAGGACTACCTGTGTATACACACCCATACACACACTTACTCTCCTTCATGTTTTTTGGCGTGATGTTCGTCATGAGATAGTCAAAGAAATGGCTGAGCTGCAGAAGATCAAAAGAATATTGTGAAAACGGAGAGGAAACATACAGTACATTTCTTTTCTTTTTCTTATTTTGGTCCTCCTGGGCTACCCTCCTTCACCCCAACTAGGTGTAGTATATCTAGCTTAGCTATGTTTAGTTTGATGAAAAGAAGGACCAGGGGAGACATGAGAGCAGTCTCCCAATATCTGAAGGGCTGCCCCAAACAAGAGGGAATCAAGCTATTCTCCAAAGCACCAGAAGGTGGAACAAGAACTAGACTACAAGACCTCCAAGGTCCATTCCAACTCTGCTATTCTATTCTATTCTACTCTATTCTATTCTACTCTAGTCTACTCTACTCTAGTCTACTCTAGTCTCTAGTCCAGTCCATTCTATTCTAGTCCATTCCATTCTATTCTAGTCCATTCCATTCTATTCCATTCTATTGTAGTCCAGTCCATTCTATTCTATTCCAGTCCATTCCATTCTATTCTAGGCCATTCCATTCTATTCCATTCTATTGTAGTCCAGTCCATTCTATTCTATTCCAGTCCATTCCATTCTATTCTAGGCCATTCCATTCTATTCCATTCTAGTCCATTCTATTCTATTCCA